TGTATTGTTTTTCGTCCAGGCTTGCCACTGTGGCTGCGCCCTGCTGATAATGATGAATATATATAGATGATCTCTTATTGAGGGCGTCTGCCAATTGTTTTGACCGACATACTATGATAGAGACGTTACTTGATCTCGATTCAATAATTTTATTGACTTTAAATTGATTAGTAATTATCTCAATAGTGTCGCACGCAGATTGATAATAACCCTCTTACTATCAGATTCTTTTCTTTCGCCAAAGTATCGACGGTTGTTCATACTTTCACCTTTCAAAGCCTCRCACTTAAGAAGAATAAGATACTTTTTTGCGATGCAAGATGTATAAACTTTTCCTCTTTATACATAGGAAGCACTCAGACTATTAACATGCCTATCTTGAAAGAGGATACATTTTTTGTGATATATGCGGCGTATTCATCTGTCATACACTACACCCATCACCTCTAACCTTAAATATCATTTATAATCACTMACGTGCGGGGAAATCAATGCAAACTCTTACCAATTAAACCCATGCTTATATATTAAAATGGGAAACATTGTCCTATTATGCCACACCCATGCACCCCTACCCTCTACTCCCCTATGTGCTATCATAGTTTAAAAGACCTAATCATAACTTATCCATATCTATAGCAAACCTTTACCGCAGAGTATCTGTAGATCAGTAAAGGATGTGTAATGTGGCGAACATATCTAGACTCTTAGAAATTGAAAAGATAAAGCTGTCATTTAAAGTGCTATCAGCCAGACATAGAGTAGTAGAAAAAAAATAACTTATAAAAAATAGGTACCTAAGCGTTATCAGTAAACATTTTCAGGAAAAAACACAGTTTGATTAAAAATTTTCATTCATCAGTGAAAATGAATTTAGCTACAAACGAAAAATAATGAAAAAGGAAATAAAAATATCCGTACATGTGGTATGTGGGGTTGTACGTCCTCTACAAATAGATGTATAGATAGATAGTTGTATTCAAATAAACCTTGTAGTCCAAAGGCTGAACTGTGTTGACATTGAATGTGTATAAGAAGATCGTAAGGGAAGAAAGTACGGGAGCCATAGCGATGTGCAAATGGATGGTTTGCTCATTTGATTATCAATAGAAACAAATGATCTTACAATTAAAGCAATTTAAAAAGTACCAATATAGATAATCGACTTCTTGTAAAATGATAGATGCAGGCAGGCAAGATGTCGGCTGTTTTGTGATAATTAACATGTTGACTGTGTTTCTTTTTAATGAGAGAACTAGCTAGAACTAATCTACTTTAAATGACATTCAAATTAAATAGATTTAAAAAACTGACGGCAATAACTTTGTACTGTTAATTGAAAAAGAAAATTGACCTCAACGCCGTCGCTCAAGTGCTCGGGTATTTATAGAATATAGTAGCCTACTGTTCGATTGCCTTTTAGGAAGTTGATCCAAGGTTTATGTCAAAATACCCCCTTTTGTCGCTGATGCGTTTTCAGGGCGTTTTCGTTAATTTTGCGGTTTTCCATTCTCCAAAGCCGACTTTGGGAATAATAGAAGTAGGCTGAATAACGTCTTAGACCTCGCCTACAACAATGCGTTTTGTTGCGTTTTTAACTGCAGTTTTTCAGTGAACAAAGAACACTTTAAATTGTTATGCCGTCTTAGTGGTACTGGATTTCCTGTGCCCTCCAAAGAAGGAACAAGAAACCCTTAATTTATAAAAAATGCAGACTCACAGATGCGTGATACCCAATAATTGTAAACTAATACAAAATAATAGTGATTGCTTTTGATTGTAAATTTAAGGAAATTAGCTCTCTTAATGATACAATGTGGTGCAAGTAAACTAGAAAGATCTCACGAACAATGCAAACCCCAATTTCACATTGGCCTTTTTCACTATATTTTTTAATCAATTTTCGAAATGTGTCATGATTAATGCCTCTCCGTTTATTAGCTGTAAAGAAAATATTAACGTTTTGTTAGGAGTTGTTTGCTGTTCACACAAAAAACGTTTGAGATTAGGATGAAAAAAATGTTGTTTACTGAGAAACTAATAATATTGAAGGGAACGATCCAATAACACTATAAGTTTTCTTAATTATTCAAACTAGAACACACCTCAGCTGTTTTTTTATTATTTCAATATTTTTCGATGGCCGTGCTTTGTTGACTGAGAATATGGAGCTTTTTGACAATGTGTCAATTGTCAGAATGATCGCCTCTTGTGTGAATGTGTTATTGCAATTCTTGCTCCTTTGATCGTTGCAATGTATAGATCTTTGTGAATTGGTAAAGTTCTGTGCTCTAATCCGTGTACGTGTTTTTCATTACAG